ACAGCCCTTACAGACAACAACTTTATTTTCGTTTTGCCGTTCTGGTTTTTAAGTGTATGATGAGATGCGCTCCGGAGTATTTGACATCTAAGTTTGTCAGAAGTTCCACCGTATCGACAAAGAATACAAGAAATTCTCAACGATTGGACATTCCACTCTTCCGCACAGCTAGTGGCCAAAGGAGATTTCAATATAGAGTGACCGCTTTGTGGAATGAGCTGCCACCTGTGCTCAAACTTAGTCCATCTGTGACTGCTTTCAACTGTTTGCTCAGGCATAAGCTCCTTAATGAAGGCTTTAGTTAATTTTTATGTTTTATCCTTTTATGTACTTAGGTTTTATTCGTGTAATGTAGATTTGACTCTGAAAAGCCCCTTGGGGATGAGCCAATAAATAAAGTATGTATGTATGTACTGCTATTGAGGCATGTATATCTTCTCCAGCAGGGTAGGATCAAGCAGTTGATCTAACACTGAGCAGAATACAGCCCTTTAGCACTGATGAAGGCCATAACATTTGTGGAGTCCGTAACAAGAGGCCGCCAACTACAGAAAAAAAATTGAGAAAATGAGAGAACTTGTCTTCCAGTATTTTCTAACAAAGTTGATGCAAAACAATAACATGAATTTTGCAAAGCTAATCCAGAAAAACAGATTTAGTGTTGCATTGAAATTTCCTGTCATATAATTATAAAGTCATTTTTCAAAAATTATAACACACTTTCTTTATAGAAAGGAAAACATAACTTAGCCAAAGCAGGAAAGTAAGAGAAGGTGACAAAACCACTGCATTATGGATCTTGGAAAGTCTGAACAAACATTGGGCATCACATATGTAGGTTTAAGTTGAGTTAAATGGTTGTCCTCACTTGTAGTAGTAGAGCCAAAGACTTTGATAGACTTAAAAGTATAAAAAAAATTAAACACTTTAAAATACAGACAACAGGTGGAACAAGGATTGAATCAACTTTTTCAAATGACAAAGAACCTTTTTAAAGAACAAAAACATCAGCATTTATGTGTCATCAAAAGTAATACCAAGTAATTCTCTCTAAATAATTTCCTTTTAGGTGACCCAAGTATGAATGATTCAAGTGGTAAGTTGTATTCCATTTTTACCATTTGCTTAATAGCCAACAAGAGAAAACACTGAACAGTAATGAGAAATTAACCCACAATCTTCATCAAAGAGTTTATTCCTCAAACTAATAATTTTCCTTTCACCTAAATTGAAGTGACATGTTATCACACACTGTTAATAAAATACCTGCCAAGATCTGTGCTATAGGCATAAATGTACATTAGCCTAAGATAATTAAGAAAATGCTATTAAGCAACTTGAATTTCCTATATGAATCCACCATAACCTCTCACAAATTGTGCTATATCAATCCACTGAAAAAATTGACACAGTATTATCTACTATTATTGACCACTATTTGTTGAGACACAATGATAAGTTAACTCTAAAGATGATAACTGCAAGAACAAGTGTTCTTAAAGTATAGTTATTTTCATAGAGTTGTGAGAACATGGAACTCCCTTGCCCTTTCCATCTGTGAGGCAACAAGTGTAAATTCT